CCCCGTGGCCCGGGCAGCGTCGAGTCCAGTCGCGGGGTAGGAGGCGGTGGGCCGGCCTCTGGCCCTTCTTACCGCCACAGCGCACGCCCTGGAGCCCTTCGACCTGGTTGCACGAGCACGCCAGCCATGCGTCGGTCCGGGCCAGGTAGTTCCGGAGCCATAGAGGGCTTGGGTGGCCATCGAGTCCAGCCCCTTCAGTGTGCAGACCAGAGGGACCCAGGGAGGTAATAATGCGCCCTTAGACGCGGGCTCCAGAGGGGCGCAGGTCAGAGTCCCAAACCCCGTATTCTTATTCCGTTGCTCTGTCCTGACTCAGCACCCTAGGGGCATAAAGACGACAACCTCTCCTGTCTCTACCGAGGCCAGCCTGAGAAGGTCTGTGGCCGGTTAGCTCTCTTAGTGCTCCGGAGGCTCAAGGCACGGTTCCCAAGGCCCCCTTTGTTTGCCGAATCTGGACCTTGGGAACCTGTGAAAATTCAGAATCCCGGGCCTTACCCACCCGGAGGTTCCGATGTGAGTGTGTTGCACTGTCCAGGAATCTGCTCTTTCCCGTTCTGCTCCCTCCTTTCTCGGCCCCCCATTTCGTATACAACAACAACAGTTCATTTAATCAGGTGTCTTGAAAATGGTTGCTCTTAGTCCCATAGGATACTGGGTAGAAAAGACAGTAGATGTCGCAGCGCAAAGCTCCTGTTACTTCGTTCTTTTTTTTATTTTTTATTTTTAGAGAGATTTTCACTGTAGGGCACGTGCGCTCGCCAGACAGACAGAGAGAGACATAGAGACAGAAAGCGAGAAATCGCTCCCCAGGGGGGATGGTCACGCCGCAATCCCTTCTCCTCCATTCTCCTCTCGGAATCTTGGGCACGCACGCACACGTGCCCGGCGTGAGTTTTAAGCCACCGGGTCCGGGACACGAACCACAGTTGACTACGTGGGAGTCCAGCGACATAGCCATTACGCTAACTGCTGGTTCCCCTGTTACTTCGTTCTTTACATACGTGCATACCTGCACATACCCATGTACACCATGTGCACTGTGCATGTGCAATTAATTGGTCAGACAGTTCCGCAAATGACTAGGAAAAAAAGTCAAATTCTCAAAAGGTAGCTGGCACTTATAATAGAGCTTGATTAGATCAGATGTGGAAACTTTTTTTTTTTGGAGTGGTTTTTGCTATAGGGTACATGTACTTGCCAGAAACACAGAGAGAGACAGAGAGACAATGAGAAATCACCCCTTCCCCAGGGGGAATGGCCACACCGCAATCCCCTCTCCTCCATTTTCCTCTCAGGATCTTGGGCACGCATGCACCGCGCTTGAGTTTAAGCCACTGGGTCCAGGATTCGAACCATAGTTGACTTCATGGGAGTCCAGCGACATAGCCATTGCACCAATTGCTGGCCCCCAGATGTGGAAACTTTTAAATTGAGAGCTTCATCTGGAAGCCAGAGAAAGGAGGGAAAATCCTGACCAGCTTTTTAATTTTCGTACTGTGACTGACAAGGCGCTTGAATTTCACATTTGACTTAGATATTTTAAATTATTTTTATTATCTTTTTTTTTTTTGGAGAGGTTTTCGCTATAGGGCGCGTGAGCTCACCAGACAGACAGAGACAGAGAGACAGAAAGCAAGAAATCACCCCCCAGGGGGGATGGTCACGCCGCAGTCCCTTCTCCTCCATTCTCCTCTTGGGATCTTGGGCACGCACGTACACGCGCCTGGCGTGAGTTTAAGCCGCCGGGTCCTGGACTCGAACCGCGGTCCACTACGTGGGAGTCCAGTGACATAGCCATTACGCCAACTGCTGGGTCCCAGAAAAGGCTTTTTGATCTGACCCAGAAGCAGACCTCCTAAAAATTATTAAGTTAGGTAACTATGCGAATATGGGCAATTAACCTCTCTGAGCCTCCGCCTTGCATTTTTTGCAAGAATTTGAAACAATTAATGTAAAAGGCGGGACCAGCAGGTGGCATGGTGGTTAAGGCACTGGACAGTCCCACATGGCCGACCACGACCACGGTTCAAGTCCTGGACCTGGTGGCTTGATTTCTCACTTTCCCTCTCTCTTTCTGTGTCTCTCTCTGGTCAAATTAAAATAAATGAATGAATAAATACAATTAAATAAATAATTTTTAAAAATTAAGAAACAATTAATGTTAAGGCCTGAGGCATAATAAATTTTAAGTAATTTGTAGGTATAATTAGCAAGACTATAGATAATGAATATCTAAATTCAGGCCCTGGGGGTAGCTAATACTTTATGGTAGCTAATGGTTACTTTTGGGGCGAAAAAAATGGCTCAACATACAATACTAAGAGTGGAGGTGTGTGTCTTATTAAGAACCCCCTCTCATGTCCCCCGTGTTTTGTGTTTTTGTTTTTTAATTTTGCTGTAAGGTGCCTGGACTCTCCAGAGACTAGAGGGGCAGGAGGTGGAGGTGGTGGTAAAAAATCATCCCCCTGGGGGGAACCGGCAGTTAGCGTGATGGCTATGTCACTGGACTTGTTCGCGGTCGGGTCTGGGACTCGAACTGCAGTTGACTACATGGGAGTCCAGCGATGCAATCATCATGCCATCTGCTGATCCCAGGGAGTCAGATTTTAAAGTTTTCCAGCTGTTTTAGGCCTGAGTTTGGGCCCCACTGGTAACTGCGGGAGGCTGGAAATGCTCTTGTCAAAAAAAGGTTGAGTAGGGAACCAGCAGTTAGCGTAAAGGCTATGTCGCTGGACTCCCACATAGTCGACCACGGTTCGAGTCCTGGACCTGGTGGCTTAAAACTCATACTGGGCGCGTGTGCGTGCGTGCCCCAGATCCCAAGAGGAGAATGGAGGAGAAGGGATTGCGGTGTGGCCATCCCCCCTGGGAGGTGATTTCTCGCTTTCTGTCTCTCTGTCTCTCTCTCTGTTTTTCTGGCAAGCACATGCGCCCTATAGCAAATAAATAAATAAATAAATAAATAAATAAATAAAGCCACCTTCACAATAAAATAAATCTCTCAGAAGAATAGGACCTTAATAATAAGTAAAATGCCAGTGTCATTCGTACACTGCCGTTGCTCGATGGCTTTATTATTGCTCCTTTGATAATATTTTCATAGCTAATGAGCTTATAGCGGTAGGAAGGCAGGTACAAACTCAGGTCTGTGCCAGGGTCTAGCCTCAGTGGGGGTGGGTTGACTAGTCGGAGGCGGCGCAGGTGAACAGAAGACAAAGGTCTCGGTGCCTTTTGATGCACGTCCTAAGTCGGACACCCCTCAGAGATTGCTCTCTGAAGAGTGACAACTGTTAGGAATTATCGTGCGTTTTTATTGAAAATGTGATACATGCAAGTTAACGGGATAGGGACTACGTGTTTTAATTATCAGCTCAGAAAGTTTTAACAATAGGGAACATAGATTCTATTCAGGGTTGGATTAAGGGTGGGTCTAGTGCAGTTCCACAATTGTTCGTTAGATGTAGGTGGGTCTCCATGGAATGCAGTTTCGAGAAAGTGGTTCCATCAAGCAGAGGTGATTATCAGCTGATGTGGTGCAGCAGCCATCTTGTGATTACCGGGAATGGTGCTAAGAAAAGAAAATCTCAAGTATAGATATTATTTCTTATGGATCTTAATAAAAAATGATACTTATATAGTTTTATAGGGATCTAAAACTTAATTTAAGGAATCCTAATATATTTATCTATTTTACTTGGTGAGGGTGGGGGTGTCTTGGGCCAGTTTCGGCCTAATCCTATTTTAGGTAAAGAAAAGATTATCTCTTTTTTTTTTTTTTTGGAGAGGTTTTCGCTATAGGGCGCGTGCACTTGCCAGAGAGACAGAGAGAGACATAGAGACAAAAAGCGAGAAATCACCCCTCAGGAGGGATGGCCATGCCGCAATCC